GTCTTCATCACACACTGTACCGCCTTTGTGTTGCACATGAAGACGCACATATTTGCGTCGTCACCAGTGGGAGGATTAGACTCAGCTTCTCGGACCAGTTTAAATGTGCAAGGACGGGCTCTCCCTAATTTATCAAACACACTTTATGCCAGATTATACACAAGCGTTTTAAAGTTGATGAGATGGCCCTCTTATTGGAAGAGACTTAGTGAGTTATTAGGATGATAAATAAGAGGATTATAAAGATTTCTGATTATCCCATTGCTGACTCAGAACTGTGTCGTAAAATATTACAGATTTCACTTTCTTTTATAAAAGAAACTTGTCATCATGCAGCCTGGGAAGCATAATAGAGTGCCCCAGGAATGAGTCCTAAACCTGGACATGAGGTAGCATCTTAGCACTTCTGGTTTCCTCGTATCAGAGTCATTGGGTTTTTGATGCCTGAAATAAAGTCTGTGGTTAACACAAGATGAAGAGACTTCGAAGCTTTTATGTGTCTTAAAAAATGCAGTCGCTAACAAGTGGCTAAATGAGACTACAGAGCATCATCACGCCAAACACGGCTTTACAGCCATGCTGTGGGGACGACGTAGAGTTATGCACCCGTGGTGTAGTTTGTTTATGGCTTAACGTTACCATTTTGGCTTAAAAAATCATGAAAGTAGTGTTCATCAACAACTCAAGAGAACCAGGGCCACACTAACTTGCATGTCAGTCTTCAGAGAAACATCATCCTCTGCGGGAGCCATGAGATCCTGTGATGTTTTCCAGATAACAGGCAGAGAGAAACGGCCTTACAGCTGCTTCTCCTCGCTCAGTTATGCTGTGTATGTTTGCATGTGTGTGCTGATGTGACTCAGTATGATTTCTTTCCTTATCTGTGCGTCCACCCAGATCAGATCAGATCTAACCAGAGACAGTCAGTGTCTCGTGTCATTGTTAAGAGCAAAGTCACTGTAATCATCTTTTTATAGTATCAGCACATTCTTCTAAAGGGCAGTGGACAATGTTTACTTTATATTTTTTTTGTTTTTCAATCATTTATATGTGCTGTGACTAATCATACTCATGTCAAAGTCATTACTGAACTGACTGCACTTGATTATGGGGCCTATAGGCAATCACATTGTCTGGCATCCTGTAGGCTGATACAATCAGACCAGCGCTAATGAGACTGCCAGACGTCCTAGCGATTGAACAAAATGTACTCTTATAGATATAACATGCTGCTTTCCTGCATTACACTGTCTATAAATGACTAGCCCGAGTTGTGCACTTACATTGTTGAAGAACTTTTCCACCAATGTTCAGACATAGAGAAATCTGTCATTTTATTCAAGGGCACAGTCCATGTCCAGTTTAAAAGGTGTGGGACAAAGGGGGAGCTATTGACAGAAATAGATTGTAATAAGTGTGTTTTCTATTTTGTACAGTCAATTGAAAATAAGAATTGATGTGTTTTCGTTGCCTTAGAATGAGACGTTTATATCTACACAGGGAGCAGGTCGTTGGCCACAGAAGCCCTTTTTAAACAGGAATTGTGCAAATTTGCAGGAAAGCCCAATCAGTCTTTTTTCAGCATTGGCAGTATAAAACTTTTACCTACTTTTGTTTATACAGAATGCGCCTTTTTCAGGGCAATGGGGGGCGTGAGCAAGTAACAAAACATGTAGCTCAGCTTGTGACATGGGAACAAACAGTGACGTGGGAGGGAAGCTGTGGCTGGTCAGTCCTCTGTAAATCGGCCCGTTCTTCACCGTCCCAGTCATTTGATGGTTAATGGCCTCTTCATTTGCGAGAACAAGGAGGGCGCGCAGTTCCTTGCCTCCCCAGTTGCTCACCTTTACAGTGTCTGTCAGGTTTGCGTTTCCCTCTTGCTACTAGCTGCTCGCTAATTCCTGCAATCAGCTGTTTCCTGTTTATCCACCGCCAGTGGATCGCACATGCAGCGTCATCAACAGCTCCTCCCACAAGTCATCAACAGCCCCTGCTGTTGCAGGAGGCCGACTCGGTCTTTTTAAACTAAAAGGGTTCGGCCAATATGTCTACCCTACAAGGCGGAAAATTGGGCGCCTCGGATCAACTTGCCAATCCGGCTCTGTGTGTCTAAACGCTCACCACTTGCCGGCAAAACGGCCCAACATTTGCGGGAAATCTGGCAGTGTAAAAGGGGCTAGAGATTGCCATGTTGCACTGCCATATTTCTACAGTAGCCCAGAACAGACAAACCAAACACTGGCTCTAGATACAGTGGTGGAAAAAAGTTTTCGGACACCCTTAAAATTTTACACAATCTCAAATATTATCATGAAATATTTGTGGAAAAATCTTTTTTGTGTTTCAAAAGGTGTGGCTGCATTAGACAGATACAAACAAATACAAATTATATTTTTTTGTTTATTGTTTACAAGAAAAACTAACAAAACTAAATTCTTGACAGTTTCAATATGTCAGTTCTCAACATTGTCGGTATCAAAGTCAACAAATAACAGAGAATGTGTTCAAAACTGAACAAAAAATAAATAAACCATCACATCATCAAATTAATATTTAGTAGTCCTGCCATTGGCACTTAGTAGAGCTCTAATCCTGGCTGGCATGTTCCCCACGAGCCTTTCACACTGTTGAGGGGTAATCTTGTCCCATTCTTCTTGAATTACTGCTTTTAATTCTTCTAAATTCTTTGGTTTATGCTTTGAAACAGACCTTTTGATAATCCACCACAGATTTTCAATGGGGCTCATGTCCGGGGATTGAGCTGGCCACTCTAAGACCTGGATACTGTGCTCCTGCAGCCAAGTTCTACTGGCCTTGGATGTGTGGCAAGGGGCATTATCTTGTTGTCCTGGCTGTCCAGTTCTTGTGTGCCTGGGCCCAACGACGCCGGGCTAACCTCTGTCTCTCATTGATCAGGGGCTTCTTGATAGCCTTGTAGGACCTTAAGCCATGATCTAAAAGTCGGCCACGTACAGTGCGGGTGGAACACTGGACACCAGTTTGGTTTGACCACTGCTGCTGAAGCTCCTGTGATGTCATTCGGCGGTTTTGCCTGCACATGCGGATCAGGATGCGGTCATTTCTTGCTGAAGAAAACCTTGGACGCCCAGATCTTGGTTTGTCTTCCAAGCTGTTGGTTCGTCTGTATTTCTGCAGAGTGTATCCAACTGCTGAAGGACTGCATCTGCACTTCCTGGCTATCTGGCGGCAGCTGTACCCTTCCTGGCTGAGAATCTTTATCTTCAGGCGTGTTTCCTGCGTTAGGTTCCTTGTTTTAGCCATTTTTGCGTCTGAAGAACTTTCAAATGTGCTGGCTTTATGTAGACACGAAGCTTGGCAACAAAAATTGTGTCTTTTAATAAAAAGAACGACCTTCATCACTGGTACCAAAATGACCCAATACTCAAAATTTCTTATGTATTTTTATGGAACCAATCAATCTTACGTTTTTAATGGTTTTTTTTAGGATTTATTTAGTATTTTGGCTGTGACTGTACTAAAAGAAATTGCACTTGAAGACCTAAGAGTGATTCTTAATGCAATATTTCACAAATGCATGGGGTGTCCAAAAACTTTTTTCCACCACTGTAGAGTCATTTGTGTTTTCCTGTCATTGTAGTTAGCAGTTTTTAAATCACTGGTTCATTTGATTTGACATTTATCTGTTGAGTGGATGTCACCATCTTGCTGCAAAACAAATCTACTTACGGGTATAAATAAAGTAACCTGAACCTGAAGGGTCATCTGCAGATAATTCGGCTCCTGGTAAAAACCTCCAGAACAATTGACACTGAAGGAATTCTAACCAGGAGTTCAAGCTTGGCACATGGGAGAAGTTTCAGCTGGTTGCAGTGTGCCATTCTCACCACTAGTTGCCACTAAATCCTACACACTGCTCCTCTAAGCCACATTTTTATGATACACTTTTTAGATATTGGTTGCTTTTAACCAAACGGCTCCCAGTGAAAACCTCCTGAAGGACAAACACTGAAGGAATTATAACCAGGAGAAACTGACCACAGTGATAGCATTGCTCCTGTCTTTTGTTAGTGTTTTGATATAGCGGTATCAACTCTTAGCAGCAGAAAGTTACATATTGTATGTGTAAAAGGACAGGGGAAATTTAGGGCCCCAAAAGAAAACAGCAAGGGATCTGTTAAAGTTTATGGATATGACTAAAAAGTCAGAAACAACTTTAAATAGAAGTTGCTAATTTAAAGCTTATAAATGTAGAATATAAAAGACCATCTGCAGACACACACATCCACCTACACATAGTTATCTACGTCTCACAGTAGAGCAGGAAAACTAAACTGCTCTGTTGAGGTGCCTGTGAGCAGCTTACTTCGCCCACTGTAGGCGTGACTGTGTGTATAAACGTGGATTAAAGATTACCTCCAGGTATTTCAGCACAGTTTACTCACCCAAATGTTTCAGCACTGCAGATAAACCTCCACTCCCTTTATTGCCGTTCCAGACGAGGTGAAGGACTGCAGGCTTCACTTAGAGGGTTTTCTCAGAGTAGCTGTGTCATTATCTCTCAGCGGTGACTGTGTGTTTAGCTCCGCAGTGTTTTCTGATGGGCCAGATAGTCAAGGAGCTTTAATATGCAGCAGGCAGCACTGTGATGGATCTCTTTTCTTTTCAGGAGCAATTATGAAGATCAGATGTATGGCAGAGCAGCTTTACCAGATTATTAGATCGCAAGCTTTTCTTTAATACATATATTTGATAATGCTTGTTCTTAAGTGATCTTTGTTTCAGAGACAGACATGACTTGCCAAACACAGTTACTCTATATGTGTCTACTTGCATTTACATTGCTTTCTATACCTTTAAAAAGTTCAATGCTAAATTCGAGTTAAATAACGATCGAATGCAAGTCGACCTCTCGTCTACTGTGTTGGAGTTGGATGGTGCTGTAATATACAGACTTGAAACGGGAATGTTTTGGGGAATTCTTACACTCATCACTCTCTCTGTCTGTCCTTCCTCTCTAGGGTCTAACTACGCCATGTCTAACGGGGGCGGGGCACCCAGCAGCAGCACCCACCTGTTGGACTTCCTAGAGGAGCCCATTCCTGGTGTGGGGACCTACGATGACTTCCACACCATCGACTGGGTCCGTGAGAAGTGCAAGGACCGTGAGAGGCATCGGAAGGTGAGTAGGCCGAGGCCCGCCAAATATTCAACCTTTAACGTTAAAGGTCTCTGTGTGTTTTAGACGAGCTCATTCGTACAACGTGCCCTTTGACCACGCCTAAGATGCCAGTTTTCTTCATCAGATTCGGATGGTAGAATAGGTTTGCAAACCACGTGTTGGACCATTTCTTTAACTCTCTGACATTCACATTCACTAGTTGCGATGATGTGATTGGTCAGCTGTATGGAGGTGAGAAAAGAGCCAGTGTTTGAACTAGCTCTCTTTTTCCCCTCTGTCCTTACACATCTACTCGTGGCACCTTTCACAGCTGAGTGCACACTATGACTGTCTTCGAGGAGAGACTGTCTGAAAATGTGCACCCCATATTTCAACTATATGATGGTTGTCTTTTCACTTCACCTTCCAGTGTTGGTACTCATAACAGCTATACACATTTTGGATTTCTATCACAGTTGGACAGCATGTTGAACAAACTACTTTAGTAGTGTAACTCCACCTCCAGAAAACCCAACAAGCACTTTGTTTAAATCATGCTGAAACCTTTAGCCTTAAAGGATAAGTTTGGTATTTCTCGTGTTTTTGAGACCAGCACTATTTGAAATTGGTCCAGGCTGCAGTGTAACCACTTGGGGCAATTGTGCACCGTCAATTTACATCCATTAAAGTGCTTGTTTTTGCCACTGACAGGCTCAAATTGTTATTCTAAGTGTCTGACAACATTATGGAAATGATCCCTACAGAGATAGACCTTTCTGTTTAAGAGTATGATCCTATTTGTTTAACCAGCAACTGCCCCCGAAATTGCCATCGTCAAACCCACCAGACTCCATTTAAATAAACAGTAAATTAAGCGTTTATAGAACCAGCATATTTTCATTTCTAACTGTGTGAAATAAGGGTTTATTTAAACCAAACCAGAGTTGGTTATTTTTGCGACAGCACAAAGAGGAAACGACAGATTTTGTGAGTTTCATTTTGATTCTGTCAACTCTCAAATGAAGTGTGTTTTATGATGATAAAATTACTGTTTATTCAAATGGAGTCTGGTGGGTTTGGCGATAGTGATTGTGGGGCTGTTTCTGGTTAAACAAAAAGGATCTTAGTCTTTAACAAAAAGGTCTATCTCTGTAGGGATCCTTTCCATAATGTTGTCAGACACTTAGAATAACAATTTGAGCCTGTCAGTGGCAAAAACAAGCACTTTTAGTGGTTGTAAATCAACGGTGTACAAATGTTTCGCAGACTGTACCAAAGAGCATTGTGAAAGTGAAGCGCACTCACTCTACAGCAGAATCCGAGGACCAAAAAGTACACTGCACAGCAAACTGACTAGCAAAGACAATCAACTGAGGGGTCTCCGACTGGCAATTTGAATCTCCGTCTAGCGCTAAAAAACACACTTACACAAATGAGTTTGTAATGGCAGGCTCAAACTGATACTCGGCAGTTCATACAGCTTTCCACATTAGCTGGTGTCAGCTAAAAAATCCAGTGCTGAACAGGAAGTAATGTATAACACATTCCTGTGGAGCAACAGTGTGTTTGGGTTACATAAGAAGAACTGAGTAGTTATGTAGGATCAGCAGTTTAAGCCTCAGTAGCTGAACAGAGAAGGAAAATCATCAACAGAAAGTCCAAGAAAAAATAACTTTAATATCAAAAGCTATTGCATAAAGCTTGTTTTTGAGCTTTCAGCTACATCTCTCAGTCTTCATTAGCATGAACTCATGAATGAACCACACTGTACACACACTAAATTGCCGGCTTCCTGCCTCACATCTCCAAGTCACGGATACAACCTCTCTCTGTCAACACTTCTATCCAAATATTGAAACAGCGTAAAGCCCTCTTTCCAGAAGTGATTTAGTGCGGTACTCCTGGAAATTATAACTCTGGGAATTTGAATTTTATTTGAATACTTTGTCAAACATTGTCTCAATATCCTGGTCATACCTGTTTCACGGTAAATAGAGTTATTAACCGTTTTATTGAGGTAACAGAAGAAATCCTGCTGCTAGGGTAGATAATTAGATTGCTCATCATTTGGGAGTAGTTATAAACCTTTGATCTACTTGTATTGCTGCCAGTTTAAGTCATTAAATATGTTGTGTTTATGTGTGTTTTTAGATCAACAGTAAGAAAAAGGAGTCAGCATGGGAGTTCACAAAGAGCCTGTACGACGCCTGGTCCGGGTGGCTGGTGGTGACGCTTACCGGCTTGGCCTCAGGTAACACACACACACACACACACACACACACACAATACAAACGCACGCACGCGGCCGTTATCTCCTCTGCTGGTGACTCTCACATGCTTCGCCTCAGGCAGCCCACGCTCAGTCTTTTTCTTGGTCTCGCTCAGTCCTTTGCTTTCATTTAACCATGTACACAAGCGTTTTCTTTCGTCTGCAAGAGCCTCACCGGAGAGAGTTCAGTCCTCGTAGGAGCAGTAATATACACAGATTGTTTATATGTCTGTGAGCACCAAAAGAAAGGAAACGAACAAGGCTTTGTATCTTTGTTTTTGTAGGAAAGCTTATCTAAGATGCAGGTTACAAAGGGAGGATAATGGGTTCATGGTGTTCCACTGCTCTTATCCATTGGGTTATTGGATTGATTTGTCTCCCCTTATTGAGCCTATAACAGCTGATAAAGATTCATCTTACCTAGAACATGTAAAATTTTAATTGTTGCAAACTATCACTGATTTTTAATACGTTATAATAAGATGTAGATGTAGATATTTCTCGTGATATCCTCCTGAGGCCCTGTGTCCTCATATGAGGACATCACATTTTGGGTTTACTTGACCTTATATTTCGTTCTACTTAACTTAGACCTGTTGTCCTCATTCGTGGACACTTTTTTGTGCCATCTAGTGGTAGTAAGAGCACAATACACTAATCCATCTAAAAACAAGATGGCAGCCATCTCTGCCAAATCAGTCTGCGGCCGGTCCCAACACAAAAGTGGACAAGGTCCAAAACCTGATCACATTTTATGATCGAAACTTGTTTAATTATGCTTAATAATGTTTGTAGTTATGGCAACAGATTTGACCAATTTTAGAAACAGTAACAAGCTGAGACACAGGAAGTACTCATTGGAAGACATTGGGACTTTATTATCACTTCGTTTGAGGACATTGGGACTTTATTATCGGTCTCAGGATATCCCTGTGGTAATTTGGTCAGAAAACCTTATGCTTTGTATTTACGTAGCTAAATATTTAGGGAGTGTGACTGTAGGTGACCGACAGTGACCAACAGCTGACCATTGGCTTGGTATGTCGGGGCCATTAGGAGAAAGATGCAGATAAAGGAGAGCAAAAAGCCTCCATGTTGCAGCCTGAACTTTGTCAGGTTAAGTTTTGTATATCCTTGACTTTACAGACTAACTTAATGAGAGGCTCGTGTAAAAACTTGTAGCATAACCAGCAAGCTAACTTCCTCTGCCTCTCTTTCTCCCTTCTCCACTTCTTCTCTCCTCCCTGCCTCCACGTCTTCGCCCCTCTTTTCATTCCTGGTTCCCTCCTCCTGCCAGGTGCTTTGGCTGGCCTGATTGACATTGCTGCTGATTGGATGAACGACCTGAAGGAGGGCGTATGTCTGAGCGCCATGTGGTTCAACCACGAGCAGTGCTGCTGGACGTCCAATGAGACCACCTTTGCTGAGCGGGACAAGTGTCCTCAGTGGAAGAGCTGGGCTGAGCTAATACTGGGGCAGGCCGAGGTAGACTGGGACTACATCCACATCCAGCGTTTTAGCACAGTTTAAAAATGAATCTCTGTACATACTAACACACTTAAAAACACACATCAAATGACCACTATTGTACTCTGAGGATGTGCGTGCTGGGTTACACAGGAAGCAGATTGTATACTCTGCAGTTGGTTGCTTACCCTGCATTCATGTGGTGTTGGAATAATCGCAAAAATGAGTTTCTGACTGTACGAAAATTGTAGTACAGTAATAGTTTGTGACCAGTGCTGTCCAGGTAGAGTGACCTAGATTAGTTAGAAAAGGTATTTATTAGCATTAATCCAGATAACAAGTGAGGTCAAGCAGTTTCTAGTAGTTTTAGAGGATGTACAGGTGCAGCAACAGGTCTGGGAAAAAATCACTAATAAAAAGCTTCTGACTTATATCATTTAAAAGCTCATAAACACACCAAAGTCCCAAATGGGAACATCCAAGTGGCACGTAAATGCACCACTAGTTACAGAAAATACTACAGGGGAATCATGTGTCAAGATTTCTTTGCTTTGACCGACGATGAGGTGAAACTGTTACTGAAATTAACACAAAGCAATCAAGGCAGCAGAGATCAGAGATTGAAAGTCGTTGCAAAGCAAATACGATGACATATTAGAGCAATACAGGAAGCAATATTTGTCGCAGGAGGAAGCCATGGCAACGGGAAGGAAGTTACGCTATCAACACAAGAGGGATGAAATCACAAAAGGTATAATTTGGGGGCACTTACTAGCTCACATGGTAAAGCTGGCACCCTGTGTATAAGGGCTGTGTCCTTGCCACAGCGGCTATGGGATCGACTCCAACCCAGCCCGCTGCTGCATGTCATCCACACTCCCACTCTCCCTCCACACAATATTTTCCCTATCAAATAAAGCCAAAAAAAGCCCCAAAAAATAACTATACAAAAAAGGACTGAATGTGGGTATCTGCATTTTCAAAAGTCTGTGTCTTCAGACTGAAACACAACCCCGCAGTTTTCAAACTTTAACACAGTCTGCAGAGTTTTCACAGATCTCCATTTTAGGGATTCCAAAACACCGCAGTAGTGTGGACACTAATCATAAACGTAGCAATAGTTGTGCATTTCAAAATTAAAATATGAGTGTAGATGTAGCCTAACAGGCACTGCAACAGCAAAAATTACCGTAATTCAATCAGAGCTTTATTTGGAGTCATTTGATTTTTGTTTATTTAAAGGCTTAATATAGTGACACGTATTTATGCCTGCTGTTGTTGCCTCTTTGCTGCTAATGCAACCTGAAAACATCCTCCATGTTTACCTGCTGTCGTGGTAACTTCTATTATTTACATCAGTACAACAACATGTCAGAATACTTTGAGTTGCTCTTCTATAAGGGAGTTTATTCACTCATTATTTCCACTTTTACTTTTCTGTTTTCAAATGCTATCAAGCTGTTATTTAGCAGCACGGAGAGCCCAATCCCTCGCTTTCTTTGTTGGCTTTTAATTTGAAATCCATACAGGAAGTATTGGAATTCAATGACAGTATCTTACCAGGGATAGGAAAATGGAAAGGAGGAGCAATGGAAAATAAATCATGATCAAAAACTGTATGAAACTGTGATTAACGGAGAAATAAACCGTCAATGCAGACAATTTACATCCATCACACACACTCATGCCCACCTGCAGACGTGCTCTCAGTCACGTCCTCACGTGATATGTAAGATTTTTGGTCACAGTGAGTTTCAAGGTGTTGACTCTTCCTCTCCTCTCTGCAGGGGCCCGGCTCGTACATCATGAACTACTTCATGTACATCTACTGGGCTCTGTCCTTCGCCTTCCTGGCCGTCTGTCTGGTCAAGGTGTTTGCTCCCTACGCCTGTGGCTCGGGGATCCCTGAGGTGAGGAAAATGTCGCTTTTAAAAGACTCTTTCAATTGAAATGTGCTCGCAGCTGCATGAAAGGATGGTTTTGAAACGCTGTTTTCCAAGAGTTGAGAGTTGGCTTTCATGCAGCAATATTTCAAGAGGTTTTTGACAGATATTAATTTGGTAAAAGATTCTTTGTCTTTGTTTAGTCACAGAGCCCAAAACTGTATTTTACCACAGAGCATTTTATCAGTTTATCAAACTAATGAGGTTAGCAGACTTTCTGTTTTCGTTCCCGGGCGTTTTTCCCATCTCTCTGCTGCAGAGTGAGTGAAGGAGCTGTTGCAGGATTTCTGCAGATTATTGATGTTCTGCTTTATCTCTCGGCTCTCGTATTTTCTCATGTCTGATCAATTTGCTCTGGATGTCAGAAACTGGAAGCAGCACCCGAAACAGAAAGCCTATAAATCTCTGCAGCTGCCTCGTAACGCTCCATGAAAGTGCTGTAATTAGTTATGTGCGCTGGCTGGGATCCTCGCAGCGTGCTCTCATGCTTATGGGGGTTTCCCTTTAATGTCTTCAAGTGGCTTCAAATTGTTAATTCAGTGGGCAGTGGGGAGACGTGACAGCTTTGACCACACTGTGAAAGAAGCTATTTTGAGGTGAGCGCTCTGAGCTGTCCGAAAATGTTCTTTTTGTTGCTATGAGAACAAGAAAGCAAGAAGACGGTGACTTTGAGCATGTCGACAGTAACAGGATGGAGGAAAAGATAAGGAGGTAGAGATGCAGCTAAAGCAAAACTTGAGTGAATCTGATTGAAAAAGGCAACTTGAAATATTTCATTAGAAGTTGGCGTTGAGCGGGATATGACATCATCTATTTCATGATTTTAATTGGTCTGAAATGGCTGGTTATGGTTATGTCCTGTCAGCTCTCTACTAGCCAGTGTCTAACAATAATTAATACAAATTGATAATCTGATTGATAGTAGTAATTATGGATCTGATGAGTCTATTGATTGACAGTTAATTGCTAGCTACATGGATCATCCATCCATCCATTTTCATCCACTTATCCGGGGCCGGGTTGTGGGGGCAGCAGGCCAAGCAAAGCACCCCAGATGTCCCTCTCCCCAGCAACACTTTCCAGCTCCTCCTGGAGGACCCTAATGCATTCCCAGGCCAGATGAGATATATAATCCTTCCAGCGTGTTCTGGGTCTGCCCCGGGGCCTCCTACCAGTGGGACGTGCCTGGAACACCTCCAACAGGAGGCGCCCAGGAGGCATCCTGATCAGATGCCTGAACCACCTCAACTCACCTCTACCCCGAGCTCCCTCCTGATGTCCTAGCTCCTTACCCTATCCCTAAGGCTGAGCCCAGCCACCCCACGGAGGAAACTCATTTCAGCCGCTTGTATCCGTGATCTCATTCTTACGGTCACTACCCAGAGATCATGACATAGGTGAAGGTGGAGATGTAGATGGACCAGTAAATCGAAATCCCTCTTCACCTCGACGGTCCAGAGCAGTGCCGACATCACTGCAGGAGCCATGCCAAAGCGTCGATCCATCTCACGCTCCATTCTACCCTCACTTGTAAACAAGACCCCGAGATACTTGAGCTCCCTCGCTTGAGGCAGTAACTGTCAGATTAACACGTGTAACATTATTTAGAAATAGAATGAGAGTAGAATGGACACTGCCATTTAAATCAGTGTAGCAGGATGATTTGTTGCTGGAGAGAATTCTCTAACAGCCTCTGGTCAATGTCCAGTTGATTTCCTTCCCTGTTATTCATCTGTGAAACTCTGATTTTGGTAGCTTTGGAACTTTTGATACTAGAAAATGTCAGAGATCATATCACTTTAAACACATGGTATCAACCGTACCTCGCTCCTTCCTTCCTGCCTGTTCAAGCTTGATTTCTGTTTAATCTCTACCTTCTTCTTCCTCTCTACCCGCCCTCCTCTTTCTCCAGATCAAGACCATCCTGAGTGGGTTCATCATCCGGGGCTACCTGGGCAAGTGGACCCTGATGATCAAGACCATCACTCTGGTGCTGGCTGTGGCGTCTGGCCTCAGCCTGGGGAAGGAGGGCCCCCTGGTCCACGTGGCCTGCTGCTGTGGGAACATCTTCTCCTACCTCTTCCCCAAGTACAGCAAGAACGAGGCCAAGAAACGAGAGGTGAGAGAGAGGACATTTGAGTCAGTGTTTCAGTCATTAATCTCCTCCTGGATGTATGACTGTGTTTTAGACTCCATCACATCAGCTGAGTTGCTTTTGTTTGGTTCTCCCAGGTTCTGTCTGCTGCGTCGGCAGCTGGGGTGTCTGTTGCTTTTGGAGCCCCGATCGGAGGAGTGCTCTTCAGTTTGGAGGAGGTACGGCACCCGTTCATGAACTCACTACAGATGACTCTGATGCTTCATTTCCATGCTCCAAAACCGCAACATAATGCCCAGTGTAAATGTCAGGATAATTGATTCTCTCTGTCTCCTCCAGGTGAGCTACTATTTCCCTCTCAAGACGCTGTGGCGCTCCTTCTTCGCCGCCCTGGTGGCGGCCTTCGTCCTGCGCTCCATCAACCCATTTGGTAACAGCCGTCTGGTGCTGTTCTACGTGGAGTACCACACGCCATGGTACCTGTTTGAGCTCATCCCTTTCATCCTGCTGGGAGTTTTCGGAGGCCTCTGGGGGGCCTTCTTCATCCGAGCCAACATTGCTTGGTGCCGGAGGCGCAAGTCGACACGTTTCGGCAAGTACTGTGTTTGAATTCATGATTCAGATTGGGATTTTTCAGCCAGCCCAGGTGTTTGAAGGTGGAGGTAGCTCCTGTTTTAGCAGACACAACTCTGATAGTGGTCATTGTCCCATCCTCCCACAGTCTGACATGTTGCATTGTCCCTTTCTTCAGGAAAGTACCCGGTATTGGAAGTGATCTTGGTGGCGGCCATCACAGCTGTGGTCGCTTTCCCGAACCCATACACTCGTCAGAACACCAGCGAGCTGATAAAGGAGCTGTTCACTGACTGCGGCCCACTGGAGTCCTCGCAGCTCTGCCAGTACCGCAGCCAGATGAACGGCAGTAAGGCGTTCACAGACAACCCCAACCGGCCTGCAGGGCCTGGCGTCTACGCTGCCATGTGGCAGCTCTGCTTGGCACTCATCTTTAAAATCATCATGACCATATTCACCTTTGGACTAAAGGTGACCCCTGGATGATTTTTTTTCCTAACGGTGCAGATTTTTTATCCTGCTTGTCTTTATTAACACTAAAATTACTTCCTGTTTCTCAACCACAGGTACCATCAGGTTTGTTTATCCCCAGCATGGCCATCGGAGCCATCGCAGGCCGAATCGTTGGCATCGCCGTGGAGCAGCTGGCCTATTATCACCATGACTGGTTCTTGTTCAAAGAATGGTGCGAGGTGGGAGCAGACTGCATCACTCCAGGGCTGTACGCCATGGTGGGGGCCGCCGCATGTCTGGGTGAGTCAGCGGATAACAAAGTAATAGGGTATGGATGGAAATGGTGTGTTCGTTGGTCAGCATTGTGTTAACTCCTGCATATTTTGCCATCCTTCTAATATTTGGATGCATTAGAACATTTTGGGCTTCTCCATGAGCGGGACTTGTTTATAGTAACACTAGATTTACAGGATTTTTGCATCAATACGATAAATTACCTTGTATTTACCAGTATTAAATTCACTGGACTAGACAAGAAACCCTGTGATTAAAGGGTTTGCTTTTGCAAAATGGACACAATGTCAAATTTTCTAAGCTAGAATCTTTGTTTCGTCCTCGTCTCGATGTGTGCTTATGCTCATTTCTTCCTCTCCTGTCTCTTCAGGCGGTGTGACCCGTATGACCGTCTCCCTGGTCGTCATTGTCTTCGAGCTGACTGGTGGTTTGGAGTACATCGTCCCCCTCATGGCTGCCGTCATGACCAGCAAATGGGTGGGCGACGCGTTCGGCCGCGAGGGAATCTACGAGGCCCACATCCGTCTGAATGGATACCCCTTCCTGGACGCCAAGGAGGAATTCACACACACCACGCTGGCCAGGGAGGTGATGAGGCCCCGACGCAGCGACCCGCCGTTAGCAGTGCTGACGCAGGATGACCTGACAGTGGAGGAGCTGCAGAGCACCATCAATGAAACCAGTTATAATGGTTTCCCTGTGATAGTGTCTAAGGAGTCCCAGAGGCTGGTGGGCTTCGCTCTGCGCAGGGACATCACTATCGCTATAGGTAACTAAATTGTTTCTCCCATATTTAAAAACAAAATGTGAGAGCAGCAAGAGAGCACAAAACGGTACACAGTCTGTCTGGGGCATAGATTAATTTAAGGGAATAGCACAGTGTCTGAGTGCTTTACAGACAAAGTGACCATATATCTATCAGTTATTAGTGGCGTGTTACCTTGAATTCATGAGGAAAACTGTGGATTCTTTCTTTTGCCGGAGGCATGCGAGAAAACCAAAAGTTCCCTTCTTGAATTCAAGGTAACAGCATAAATAATTAATATATAAATGGTCGTTTTGTCTGTGAAGAACTCCCTCAAGCAAGACACTGAACCCCTAATTGCTCCTGATTTGTATACATGGGAAAAAGTTCAAGGCTAACTTCTGTATTTTTCAACCTGGCCCAACCTTTCAACCTTTTTCTGTGTTTTTGTGTCGAACTGACTAATGGGAACAGTACTGAGCAAGAGCGCAGTAGCTGTGAGCCAGGAGGCAGTTTATGTCCACTAAAAGTGTTTATTTTGCCACTGACAGGCTCAGATTGTTAGTTTAGATGTCTGACAACATAATGGAAAGGATCCCTACAGAGATAGACCGTTTTGTTCAAGAGTAAGATCCTTTTTGTTCAGCTAGAAACAGCCTCACAATTGCCATCGCCAAACCCACCAGACTCCATTTTATTAAACAGTAACTTTATTATCATAAACACGCTTCATTCATATTGACAGAAACACAGTAAAATGAACAAAATTCATTTTGATTCTTCTTTTATAGTTCAATCACAATCACTCATTCTGGTTTGGTTGAAATAAACCCTTAACTCACCCAGTTAGATGTGAAAATATGCTGAGTCTATACATGCTAAATTTACTGTTTATTTAAATGGAGTCTGGTGGGTTTGGCGATGGCGATTTTGGGGCTGTTTCAGGTTTTTAAAAAAAGGATATCACTAACAAAAGGTCTTTCTCTGTAGGGATCCTTTGTTGTTGTTGGACACTTAGAATAACATTCTGAGCCTGTCAGTTGCAAAAACAAGCACTTTTAATGGGCGTAAATTGACAGTGCGCAAATGTCCAAAGTGTAAACATTGCATTAATTACATTCCCAATAACATACACATGTAAGTTAGCTTTAGAAGCCAACAGTAGTAGCACCAAAACCACTTCAGACATAATACAGTGTTTACCATTAGTGAACGAAGTATGCAGACATTTTACTTGAGTAAAAATAGCTGTACTACTGTGTAAATACTCTGTTACTATTTACAGGTAAAAGCCCTGCATTCAAAAGCTAACTAAAGTAAAAGTACCAAAGTATTAACACAACAAAAAGGTCTATCTCTGTAGGGATCCTTTCCATAATGTTAGATAGTTAGAGTAACAATCTGAGCCTGTCAGTGGCAAAAACAAGGACTGCCAGCTGCAGAACTCTCGCTCAATACTGGACCAATTTAAAAAATTGTTGTTCCCATTAGTCACTCAGACCCAAAAACTTTGGAAAATAGGGTCCAGGATGAGAAGTACCAAACTGAACCTGTGAGTCCCTTTAGACAAAAGCATCAACCAAGTTAATGTTGGTCCTTTCTCTACAGAAAACGCTCGTCGCAAGCAGGAGGGCATCATGTTGAACTCCAGGGTGTACTTCACCCAGCACGCACCCACCCTGCCAGCCGACAGCCCTCGGCCCCTCAAACTGCGCTCCATCCTGGACATGAGCCCCTTCACCGTCACCGACCACACCCCCATGGAGATCGTGGTGGACATCTTCAGAAAGCTTGGGCTGCGCCAGTGCCTGGTCACTCACAACGGGTAAGTAGGAAGTTGCCTGAGGAGGAAGGATGTGCCGTGAGAGAAGAATCCCTCTCACATCCTTCTTTTTAGTGCCGTTATGATATACTTACCCGTCTGAGGTCAACAAGCATCGCACAATGACATGTACACACTTTCCAGTGTTGCATGGGCTCTCAGATCCCTGGGTTTACCCTGTAACTGCATGGCCTGGCCTAACCACTGTGCTGCACTATCTGTACCCCCCTACTGAGCAATAACAAGCCGTCTCTTCAGTAGAAGAGACTGAGTTGGCGAAACTAACTACAACTACATAACAGGTATCATGTCAGGAATTACAGTCCATCTTGAAGTCAGCTGATGCTAAAGAAGAAATGAAAAAGGTGGTTTTTGAGGAAGAAAATTTGAGGTTTTCCCCCTTTTGATATGTTTATTTTTCAGATCATGAGGATTTCTTTTGTTCATTGTAGTGAAAATAAAGTCTCATGATGGGTCGGACTCAGGAGATCTTGTCTAGGTTTAACAGATTTAGGTTTTGCAGGGAGCCACCTGCTGGTGTAATGTAGGAATTACAAGACAGATTGTGCTTACCAATCCTCAATTTATAGATCACTTCTCTCAGTTTGCTGTGACAATCTCCAGAGAGGAGCTGTGCAGCAGTGTTTGTTTTCATTTACAGCTTCATGTTTAACTATTTTAGTCACATTTTTAAGGATAAAGCTGGTGTTATTCTATTTTTTTTTAAACTTACTTTCAACAAATCTCATGAAAAGACTAAAACAAAAATGTCTTAGTTTGTCTTTCAGTGCTTTCTAACTTCTCTACCCTGACTGGGGCACTCAGGCTCCAAGCCCATTTGCTTCTACTTTAATCTTTAAAAATAAGTAACAAATATATAAATTTAGTTTACCTTAAAAGGCTAAGTCATTTTCTAAGGCAGCAGGGCACTGTAGTTTTTAAGTTGAGGATTTGTTTCTCATGGATTAATACACATTTGGTGTTCTCTAGACCAGTGGTTCCCAACTGGTCCAGCCTCAAAGTCCAGATTTCTCCTTAGTCATCAGTTCAAGGTCCACACAGTTTGATATATTCAGCGTCATACCTGTGTTTGGACATGTCATCGAGTTAGTTTGCATGTTTGTCTCTGTCAAGTAGCTGTCCACTCTACAGCAGGAAACAGCACTTCAAAATAAAATCTCTGTCCTGGAAATTCACTGCACTTAAAAACAAAGTGTGTTGGTTATATAAATCTTATGACAGACAACACCTACTAGGACTAATTCATTGCTGTTGTGTTTATTTTTTTCATGTGATTTATCGTCAATATGTAAAGCATAGAATATCACCAGACTTACCCTTTAACTTTTGTCAAGTTTCATTCGTAATTAAGCACAAATTTTAAATTAATTTCCAGACAGTCTTCAAAATAAAATGAGTTTCCATCCACTACTGTTTTTAGGTGAGCAGAAAGGTGGAGTCCCCGTGCACCCTGCTGACAAATTTTTCTAACTTCATTTTTTCTAATCCTTAAGGTGTCTAGTAAACAAATCTGTTGGGCGGCCATCTTGAATTTGAATCAACTAGACGTCATACAGGGCCAAATGACCCCAAATTTTGTGTGTAACTTTGGCATGGGGAGTTGATTGAGAGGGTTATTTTCAGAATTTTAACAAGTTAGATTCAATAAAACGTGAAAAATGTGAAGAAGTCAGATTAATTTACTCTCAAGATCTTGCCTCTGTAGGCTTTATATTAGGGATGAGCAAGTACACCATGATCTGTGTCTGTAACTGTTCTGCTAATTAAATTATCAGTATCATTACTTGTACTCTGAATGGGCTGGTGGGACTTAATGTGGAAATGGGTGTGGTCTAACTAGAGGTTGTTATTTTATATGTGAATATTGCAAATATAGAATATCAAATATAAGATACATGATTGTAGAAGAAGGCCCAACAAGATGACATGATCAAAAGAGTGCTAGTCAAACCTCAAACTTTAAACCTTGTGATTAAAGACATGGTATTTTATTAGATGAGTTACATTCTGTTCATCATAACACCTGAAATTAATTCATTACATTAAGTTTTTGTGTTATTTTGAGTTTTATTTTTTGTTAACATTAAGTTACCTGTTTAATATTTTAAGTTGCACCCTGTTATGTTTTTGTGCTTCTATCTCTGTCTCTCTTCTGTTTGTTGTTTTTGTTTATTTGTTGTTGTTGTTTTTGGGCAGTTTACCGAGTAACAGGTGTGTGTTTCAGGATTGTGTTGGGCATCATCACAAAGAAGAATATATTAGAGCATCTGGAGGAGCTCAAGCAGCACACGGAGCCCCTGGTGACTAGCCCCGCCCCTACACACACGACCCCTCCCCCACACTTTTCACACCTGTCTCTTAGGCTCCGCCTCTTTAGAGGGCTGCATGAAACTTGGTGTGAAAAACTGTTGACAGTTCCCGGCTACACATTGAGCCTTCCTTTGCTTCCTCTTCTTCTCTCACTGACTGTCGGCACTGTGTTGTTCGTGGGTTGGTTTGGTGTGGATTCACCTCTTAATGCAGTCGTTCATTGTAGAGGAACATCTGTAGATAAACATTCTCTCACCTCCATCTGCATCGCTGGAAGCATTTATAGTTTTGGAGTCTTTATCTGTAGAAGTGCTTTGTTGTGGTTTTCTGGGTCCTGTAACGTTGGACCTTTTTGGGAACTGTCACCCACGATAGTCTAGAGCCCCTTTCAGACATGTGCTTCATTACGGAAATATGCTAGCAATTTAACATGTTGATGTTGAAGATATTTTACTGTAAAAGTTGTGACAGTGCTCTATTACCAAGAGGGACCTTATAACATGTCCATGAAACGTCCTAGGTTCAGCTCAGGTCTATCACATACCTGACCTCACAAAAATTCATATCGTGATACTTGTTGACATATGACGTCATACTGTTACCCACGGCAACAGTAAACATAGCTGAAAGTGAAATTATTACCGACTCCGCAGTGGTTCCGTAAAGAGGAGCTTCAGTAGTGTGGAATAAACTGTGGCGTCCTGAATGTTTTATGAACAGCCCCGGACTTCTCAGTCTCTTTTGGTGAGTTACAGCTCAGAGGGAACTCATTCAGCGGCTCCTCTGGCAGCAGCACACAGAAGTCGGTGTTGATTTTTACTAATTTTTCATATCTTTAAGGATATCGCAAAAATCCCCTCAAATATCATGATATTATTTTAGGGCCATATCGCCCACCCCTACTGTTCATGTTAAACATGGCCAAAGTTTCAAATAATGAGGTAAACGTATGTAAAAGTAATCCCTGTGAGCAAAAACCTCTGATCGTTCTGAATACTCAAAAATCGATACAGCATGGTATCGCGATATTTTTGTTCGGCAATATTGTTTTGTCACACAGTGCCAAATATCGACTTTTTATTATAAAAATTATCAATGTGACAAATACATATTAAACTTAAGGTAGTCGACTACAGTGATATAATTGATTGCTTTTTAAGTCCAGTAGATACATTTTGCTAAAAAAAAAAAAAAAAAAAAAAAAAAAGGTTGACATGAAATTAACAGACTGAAACTTTTATTGTATTAGATAAAACAGATGTTGACAAAGTTTTCACTTGGGGACATAATTTATAGTTGGAAAAAGGTAATAAATCACAATATATCACAATATGTTTTATCGCAATAATATTGTATCGTGACTTAAGTATCGTGATAATATCGTATTGTGGATCCTATGGTGATTCCCTTACTTATCTGTTACCAATGTTTTTTCTACTTTAAAGATGAGCTGACAGCAGCTCATGGTGGATTTCTTTATAGGGTCACGTGCCCCAGGCGTGCTACTGCAAGAGCACATACACTGCTACATGTAGCTACATGCTAACATCAGGGAAACGTGTAAACTGTGTCGTTGATGTTGTTAATTTCTCCTAATTTCAGATCGTATTCTTGCTGCAACATGTCTGGTTGTAGTCTCGCCACCAGACAATCAGAGATCTCCGCCTTCTGATAGTCTGGGGACACTCCTTTCTAAAGTGTGTTTAACACACTGGCAAAAACGGCCGGCAACAAAGCAACGCCTCTTGCATTTTTGAAAAGGACACGCCTTCTTGGAAATGTGCGCTCCCCCTTTTCTCATCCGCAAGGAAACAAACACACAGAGAGCTTGAAAATGGATGCCGAGAGATTTAACTCCGTTTTATCAAACGTGTGCTCATCCGTGAAGAAAATATTTTTTTCCAGCGGATGTCTTAGTTACAACATTACTGAGCTAACTGGAGTAGTGTCATGTCGTATCCGACAACGGGAGGCTTTTAACAGATGACGTCCTGATGTTAGCTTTGCTGCTGCTGTTAGCTGTCCCTGTCAACTGCAGCCACTGATGCTTTCTAGACATTGTGATTTCCCAAAACTGAATAAATACCACACATAGCAACACAAAACTGCTTTGCTAGCTCAATCATGTTGTAACTAAGATATCCGCTGGAAAAGATATTTTTTTCACGGACCGTTTAATGAGTTATTACCTATTACAGACACCGCTAACAGCTAACAGGGCTAACAGCTAACGGTTAGCCCAGCTAAACGTGCACACAGAAATAGTAATGTTTGTTCAATCATTGTGTTTATAGACTTTACAAACATCGGATTAGTCCAAACGGTGATACCATGATGTGAAAAATGTGATACATAGGCTATATATATAGCTAAAAGCTCTGCTGGTTTTCTACCCGGAAGTATTTGTAAACAACAAGGCGATTCCCTCTAACGTTATAGTCCGGCCGGATGGATGAGTCATGGCCTTGTAAAAGATTATGTTTGTTTCTTTTAGTTGGCGAGAATGTGTCGCCGCAAACGCAACAAACATCCGCTAACTTTGATGGAGTTTTCTGCGAGCACGGCTGAGCCATTTTGTACCGCTACACGTGTTTCTAGTGGGACTATGTTTACAAGCACAAGAGTTCAGCGAGCCACTGAAGGACCGCCCTGCAGATTTACTATTGGTTCTGCAACGTAGGGAGTTTTTTAAACTCTGAAATTGTATCCGCCCATCTAAACACAAAATCAGGGAGAAAGTCATCAGTCTTTAGTTAAGCAAAGCGTCTAAAGACTGACTTATGAGTCTAGTCTGGTTGTGCTTAAAAGCTTTTATTGGTGATTTTTCACAGTCGAAAGTGCCGTTATACTCCTTCACAGTCAATGATGGTCAGAGAAGACACTGAAACCTTGACCATCCAGAGCAGACTGTCCTCTTTCGGGAGGGCAGCTTAAAGAGACAGGCTCTAAAATGGAGCCTCACAGACGGAGGGTATTCCAGCACAGACAGTAATAGGAAAATTACGTGTTTTTTCAAGCATTAAAGCATGTAAACATGTTCTTGTAGAAATATATGAACCTGAAAATAAGCATAACAGGTCTGCTTTAATATGACGGCTACAGCAGCACAGCAAACAAACCGATAGATAATTAAATGAGTGTCTTGTTCTGTACTGTAACATCATCTCATTATGATCTCTGAAACACAAAACTTTCAACCACATCAACATCACAAATTAACTTAAAGCCAACTTGGATGAGAAGACCTAAAATTGCTACTGATAAGATCATAAAAGCTGCTGAGCTCACGTCCACAGTTGCAGATGGAGCTCCATAAAAGGCAACATATTGGACCTTGAGTTGTGATGGCTCTGTCTAACTACCATTTTCCAGGTCAACGTGCTTGATGCTTAAAATAAAATCAGTTTAGTGGAACATGAAGCAGCGTGATCTAGCCAGATTTAAAAGGTTATAGAGGATCAGCCTGGAAGAATACGTGTGAGTAGCCATCTTAAAGGTTTCCATATAGCATGTGAGCAAATACATAATAAGTGACAGTCATTGTCACAGTCACAGTCACAGTGTAGTCTATAAATCAGGCTGCTGAATTATTTATTCTATCTGATAAATAATGACATTGATGATAAAATGTGCTCTGAAATCTGGGTTGATAAAACTGGTGAGAATCAGAGCGTCCCTCGTGCTAATCATCAATGTAGCCACGGTGATTAACACTCTTCAAACTAAGTTTTATAATCCGTCACTGATGTCGCCAACGAGAGAACTTTCCTCCCTGATATCATTATTGTCTGACTCGCTGCTGAACTCAGCGTCACCGCTCCCTCTCAAGAAACATTACGCAAGCCTTGCAGCTCCGTCTCTAATGGTCGTGTTTGAATATAGCCATTATGGAACATGCTGTGTACACAAAGGAGTGTTATTATGAGCTCTAAGAAGATTACAGGTTATGAAATGATGTTCAGAAGTAATTTGATTCTGTGTAAGCCTCTGGAAAAGAAAGCGATTTTGGCGCTGCTTTGATCTAATATAATTTGTCCCCAGATTTTATCAAGACATTTGCACAGTCACAAATCTTTTCTGTGCTTATGTAAGTTAGAATCTTTATTGCAGAGTTTTTGTTTACAGGTTTGCAAAGGGTGACATGTAGCAGCAGGCTTTGAGATGATTTCTGAACATCATTTCACATGTTTGAAATCTCATTGGCCCTTATTTAAGCCTATACTCTGTGTAAAACAACATTTATTATGCAGATAGATGAAGCCAGCACTGTGACATGTCTGAAAAGGGCTCCGTAGATTCCCAGAGTGCAGCTTTGCAATTCATCCCCATTTGTACGTCTGTAGCTCTGCTTGTGTCAGCTCCATCGTGCTAGCACCTTAAGATGGTCATCAAGCTTAGGGATGTCAGTTAATGTTGCTTTTGATAGTCGGACACCTATTAACTGGTTAGTTGCCTTTTTTAATGCAAAATGACAATTCAAGAGGCCCTTTCTGTCAGTCCGGCGCTCAATTGATTCAGTGAGATTTAGCACCACATTTCAGAGCGCTATCCAATTATGCATTCCACTGCAACGTTGCAGCAGACACATAGCCTCGTTTCCACCAAATACTTTCGGTATGGTACCTTTGGACCCAAAAGTAACCCTTCAGACATGGTACCTAGACCCTAGTGTTTCCACTGTACAGTACTCTTAAATGTGGGCGGGGTTGTTGTCACTCACTGCTCCATCCAGCACTCACTGTATTTCCTAATTATCGATGACACAGAGGGAAGTCTGCACCTCGTTTATCATCCACAGAACGAGGCTGCACGCCGACATTTTCAGAACAAAAAACAGGCTGCAGTGAGAGTCTCTCTCCATGGGATATTTAAAAATAGTAGGTTTGTGCATTTAGTCCTTCTCAGGCTAAAAGAGTATGTCATATAAAAACTAAAGTGATGGTCAAATTTAAGGTGTGCTGATAGATTTACGTCATCAACTATCAACAGA